AAGTTCAGAAGAGCTCATTGGTCAGTTTCGCACTTCTTGAGATTTTGTAGATAGTTATGGGTAGTGGACCATATTAACTGATTAATTTCTGCAAGCTCTTTATTTTTATTTCAGTAGTATCCACGACGAAATAAACAACCGTTTGGTCGACCAACACACTAATCGAAAAGAGGGGAGCTAGAGGGGGAGGGGAGCACAAACCCAAACGGAACATAGCTGTGTGCAGGGCTTGGAGCATACCAGTAACATCACTAAAGTTAAAACGTATATGACTTAATAAACCGAAACATCTTACTTTTGTTCTCCTTTAATTGCCCATTTTCCTCATCTACTCGTTCTGCCTCCTTCCTGTTTCCCTTCTCTCTTCTGCCCTTTAATGTGTATAACTTGACCTGGCCGCTATGAAATAATCATTAAAATTTGATACGAACACCGGCTGTCCGGGCGAAATTGATACTCTTGGTATATTAATATAATGAAATTTAAAGCACTGTAAATGTATTAATTTGAACGTCTAAACAAACTTGGAAACATAAAGATGAAGACTACATCGTATTTAATTTTCATTTCTGCGACCAGTTTCCAAATTTTAAAATTTTTAGATATCTTATCAATACAGATAATTTCGTGTCGAATGGACCCATTTTCTTTTATACTGGCAACGAAGGGAATGTCGAATTGTTCGCGCAAAATACAGTAATTTTCCGTTTTTCCTTGTTTTACAAAATTCTTATAAAATTATGTAGGACGAACTGAACATTTCCTGAGACACGAAAGTAAACCCAGAACGAGAAGAGAGAGTGAATCCGAAAAGAGAATGGAGCCCGCTTTGAGGCTTCCTAATTGGGACAGTCTCGAGATCTTACAAACGGCGTTTGCAAGACTTATCGCTTTCAGGGACTGATGTGGGATCTGGCGCCAGAATTTGGAGCAGCAGTGGTATTTGCTGAGCATCGTTTTTACGGCAAATCACAACCGTTCGGTAACAAGAGCTATGCAAATATCAGAAATCTTGGCTATCTGTCATCCGAACAAGCACTCGCCGATTTTGTACTCCTCATACGGCACCTCAAAAGTGAGGTTAATTTTTGGCACTCTTTTTAA